ATTTCATAAGGAGAATTTCAGCAACAATTCTGTGATTAAGAATCAATGTTTTATAGTTAGTCAAATAATAATTTTATCATGAATGAATATCAAGCTTTGAGAAGACTTCTGAGACTTCCAACAGCATTATAGCTGTTGAAGTCACAGAATTTTCCACTGAATTCAATAAAAATAGCACAATAACCTTAGATGCCAAGAAAAGAATCAGAAAATGGGATTAGGATCACTGGCTAGAGTCTGCCATCTCTACAGAACTCAAATTCCCTTCAGCTTTGGAGAGAAAGATGAGGAATTACAGTAATATCTTAAAAACACTCCCATTCTTACTTCTTTCTGGATACATATATATTATATTAAATAAATTTAACACACTAGACAGAGGAAAAAAAAAGGCATGTGTTTTGTTTTATTCACACAGCCTTTGTTCACAGTTAAATGTAAGTCTATTTAAATTATCTGACAAAAAGTGACATAAAATTTACTTAGACAGACTTACTTCCAACATCCACAAAAAAGCTAGTAAATTGCCTGCTATTTGAAACAAGATGTTGAGATTGAACAAAAAATTGTAATAAACCCAAAGTTCAGAATAATCTTACAAATAAATTGTTGCTTCTTTGCTAACATTATCTCAGAAGTTCCACGCAATGAACACTTTGGAAGCGCTTAATGTCATCAGCTTTAAAGGTGTGAACCAAACCTTTGAACCAAAATCTCACCCAATGAGTCAGGAATACCCATATCTAACAAGAAGTAAAAAATTCCAACAATCTAGATATTATATAAAGATTATAACTATCTGCAGAATAATCAATTGAGCCAACAATCAATTGCACTCATGGCAACTCTGAAACCATGAGCTCTTTCGCAGATGCTGTATCAACATAAGTATTAAAGCATTAAACCATCATCCATCTCCTTTCCCTCCACCACATGTCACATAGGACTTTCAGTAGTCATTGAAACGAACTGTGTTGAGCACCAGTTTCAGCATTTAGCTCTGTTGCAGGGCTTGTGCTGTTCAGGGTAGGGTCAGTTCTTCCCTCACAACAAAATGGACGTGTGGTGTTCAGCTCCTGGCATGGGAGACCTCCTGCTTTATAGTGAAAGGCCACAGCACAGCCCTACACAAACTACCCGGTCCTTTACCACTGAAGTCATTCTGAATACCTGAGAAGGGCAGCAAACCTTATCCAACAATATCATTTAACCACGTTTTGGTCTTATATGCAAAACGTCATCTTTTAGAACAATTACACTTATGTAACTCGTATCAACTATTACTCTCATGATATTATTAAAGTAAAGAACTTTCTTGTCCAACGCTACCAAATGTTAACTGGAGAACATGTCATGAAACTAAACTTATCCCAAACACTTATTTTTTTCTTAATTATTATTATCATTCTCTATCGATTACTTTAATAAATCAATGGGATCAAGTCCTCAAGAAACAACCCAGCCTCTGGCTCCTGTACTTCGAGACTCTCATCATGCAAGTGAGCGCTCCACCACTTTTTGCCAACTCAAGCTAATTATTGAAGACAAAAGTTCAGAGTGCCAAATGAGTGACAGGTACATCTGAAGTGCAGAGTATAAAAACATAGAAAGTTTTGTTTCTGTATTACATAGCTCCTCTTCTTCATAAAGAGTAGACGCATCACTCACTAAATCCTTCCCTCTAGATGGATTATTCCTCCCTTTGAAAATTAAATATTCATGCAAATTTCACTGACAGTGCCTCCATTACATTTGCTCCTGTTGGTTCCAGTTGTATCTTTGAGATATGATCTATACTCTCCCCCCCCATCCCCCAATACATGTGCTTTCTCTCCTTCATCTGACCTGGAATAGAAAGGCAGAAAATTTAGGCTGGCCACAATGACAGTAAGGCTTTCTGACTCTTCCAGTTACGGAAGGTAAAACTCAGGGCAAATACAGAAAGTCAGGTGTGTAACCATGCTGAGATGATGTCACCTCAGACTGTCAGACGTATGCGTTGATGCAGCAGACAAACTGGGATTCAGCCTATCTAATCCTCTCTCTGGTAACCTGAACTGAAAGTACAGCCATGAGAAGGGATAAGAAAGACTATACATTAAATCCATTTGACACTTCTTACTTGCTACCACTTCTTACCTTTTTAAACAATGTATGCAAGCAAAGGTGGTGATGACTAGCGTTTGACAGTATCACAGTTTTCCCAGTAGCTCAGCCACAAAGACCAGTACTAAATTACGAGCATGAAGAAATGGTACTTATTCAAGCACTTCAGAGTGAAGAAGAGTCAAGAACAGACTACTTTTTTAATATTTGATTGAAGATGAATGAATAGTGACTCAGACAACTCTGTTGTACTGACTGGACAGCTTGACATATTTTGTCAATTCATGAAGGTTATATCTGGCAAGCCAAACAGCATGCCTGAGCAGATATAACAAAATTAGCAAAGGAATGCAATCTGTAAGCTTGCCCTGGACTTTCTAAATCAAATCAACATCTTCTCTATTAATTTGCATAGTATAAAAATAAAAATGCATGCCATAAAGTTGAATATAGTGTATTTTGGCAATCTCCGATACAAAAGATACAAGTAAACTAGGATACAGAACATGAAAGAAAATACTAGAATAGCCTTACAGTAAGCAAGTTCTTTCCTTAAAGAACTCAGGTATTTCTTTCCCCTTTCTTTTCAAATTTTCAACAGAAAAAGAAATGTTTCTTTCTTCTACCAGACTCAGTGAAAACTCAGTTCTTTGGCCATAAAGCAGAATGAAAAACTGGCTATAGGTGAAAGGCTAGAGCAGCATGTTCTTTAATTCAGTGACAAGGACCTTCATTGGATTATCTCATAGCTATGGGACAAGATACTGCAAAAGCCAAATGATGCATCATTAAATTATGTTTTCTTCTTCTCCAGGCAAAGACCGAGTATAGCATTAGATTAGTTTGAAGGACTAAGAAGAAAAGGAAGAAAAGGGCTCTGTAACTTGCATCAGAACCGGCAAAGCTGATATAATTTTCAAAAACCACTTATCTGTATAATCAGGTATAAGCAGTTACTTATGTTAATTTTGTAAACCATCAATGTAATGTATAGCCCCAATGAATTCCAGCTCGGTGCATGCGTCAGTGTTTTATGATCTCTCTTGCACACACTTAGTGAAAGCCTGCCACTCTGCAACAGAGAAAGGAATTACTACAATAAGTCCATAGCTACACTTTGATAAAAGATACAGATTTTTTTGATAAGCCGCAAAAAGAAGCTGAATGCTTTAAATAATGGACAGGTTTGTGCCCCAGTGTCTAGCAACAGTTATTTTAATTGCTTTTCACAGTATCTTCACAGTCAGGAATATGAACCACAACAAAGCTCTCCTGAAACTGCACTGAAACAAAGTGACATTCCTCTCAGACTGCTTACCCACAGTGAACTTCATCCACTATTATGGGAAAGGCTTACTTTTTGCTATAAACTTGAGTTAGTTGCACCTTCAAGCGTAACTCGTTCAAGTTACACGTTCAGTACTGCCAACTCAATGCCTTTTAATCCTATTATGTTAACTCCGCATTCATGTAAAGTGTGTGTTTCAGTCCATAAGAAGATCCCTTCCTTACAGCTTCCCAGCCAACAAGTGCAGGCAAATCAAAGTGCATTAACCTGGGAAGCTCTGAGCACCCCCCCCCACCCCCCCCCCACACACACTTTTTGCCAGAGTTCTCTTCGATTAGAGAAGAAAATATCCAAAACTCAACAAACATTTCACACACCTTGATATTTCTGCAGGAGCATATGCTTCCAACATTGCACCTTATACTTTTATCACTATCACAGAGTTATTTCCGCAAGTCCACTCACTCATAATGCCCAGTGTCTCTGCTGAAACTAGGATGTTCACTGGAACTGAGTTCTTAGTGAAATGCTAGAGCTCAGCTATAAATCTGTGTAACTCCTTTTATTCTGTGATGCTTTCATGTTAGACCAGGATGTACATCAAGGTTACTGTAAAAGATTGTCATTTTTAGACTCATAGAGAAGACACCAAGGAAATCAATAAGAGAAAACTTAATTAAACACAGTCTGAAGTTTTGTCTTCTCCCAAACCTGTCCAGAATTCACTTTATGAATCCTCTTTATCCCCTACCTTTCAGAGACAGATGTTTCATAGAGAGGAGCAGGCAGGTTGGTTAGCTCATACACTATGCGTGCTGAAAGGTGACCAGGAGAATTCATTCTTTTCAGCGTGACTACCCTGTTTAGAGATCTTTGAGTTTTTAGCAAGAGATTACAGCCCTATGGGTCTGCTCCTTCAAAGCGGAGTTCCTCCAAGAGCAGAATTAGTCCCGTGTCTGCTCTACGTGCTGAGATATACTGAAATCAACTTTTTGTTTCACAGCAATAACAAGTAGAGCAATAAAAATCCATGTGCTAAAGCAAACAAACAAAGCTGGAGAAACCACATCCTCACAGCAACAGCATCTCAGAGAAAAAGAAAATCACCAGGCAGGACACAAGAAAGTAAAGGCATAAAAATCAAAACTCTCTAGGTTCACTATTTTAACCCATAAATGGGTATGAAATATGCTTACACACATACCCTGCCTCTCTCCTCCAAGAGCCACTGCTGGAAAGCAATAAAGGGACTCCTGCAATTAAGTTATAGCCTAGCACAAAGCAGAAGACATTTTATATTAGCACATATAATGCATCATTTCTTACAGGTGCAGAAGTGGGCAGCACAGGATTACTACAGCGCTGCGCTTTACCGCTTGTGCACGCCAAGTCCTGCACCGTACGGCTGCCCTCGTCGTACTTCGCCGGAGTTGGACCGGGCGCCGCTGCGACCTCGACCACAAACCTCCCGCACCGACACGCCGGAGAGCCAAAACTGCAGCTGGGGCCGCTGCCTCCAAAACCGCGAGTAAGAAACCCAAAGCTGCAAAAAAGTCACTCGAGATGACGTTCATGCAGCGCAAGGACAACAAAAAACGACACTCACTTGCCTGTGTGCTCCCGCCGGGCGACCTCCTCTCGGCTGGCGAAACGCAGAGCCGCTCGCCCTCCTCGGACCTCTCCGAGCGATTTCCAAAATATTTCCCAAAAGGCCGGGGCATCTCCGGGCTCAGCCG